GTATATATATATATATATATATATATATATATATATATAATTTCTCTTTTTCTTTACCATCTTTTCAATTTTTTTAAGGGTTTCTAAAATTCAAATATATTAATTACGAAGCATTCTATTAGCTTTTCTACTAATCAGATAAGTATTTTAAGTTTATTTTATTAAGGCAGCAGTGTGTCTTACCAATAACAGGTATATGATTGAAGAGATCAGGTGCTCTGTCTAGCGCTCCCGGATGTGTTATGACTTCTTTAGCGACTGGATATTCATTTAAAATAACTGTATATTTGGAACCCAGATTCACCCTAAACAAATCAACATATTTTAAGACAAATATTTTACAATTTGCGCAATAACAAAGGTAACTTTTATTTTAACGTTAAAATTATTATTATTATTTTGCTTTGATAGCTTGTAAGTTCTGAACTATTTGTTTCTTGTTTTTTTTTTAAAGTTTTTTCTTGATGCAAACTAACAAAAAAAATTAAGTAATTAAAACAAACTGATTATCATTTTAAATATTTATAAATTCTATTGAATTAAGACGCAATATCTGCAGATAATTAAAATATTTTTTGCAAAACTTCAATACTTTTTGTTTGAGTCGTTGTAGCTCATGGGATAGAGTGTTAGCCTTCCAATGAGGTGAACCGAGTTCGAATCGAATCCCAGCTATGGCTGGTTGAAACTAATTCCGCACTCGGCTTGCACCGACCACAGTAATATGTCCTAAATGGTAGACGGATCATGGATTAGAAATTCTTTGCCATCAGGCTAGTCGTTGAAGGTTTTTGTGGTTTTCCTCTCCGTGTAACGCCAATACGGGTTAGTTCCTCGAAAAAGTCCTCCACAAAGGCCAATTTCTACCTACATTTGATGCAGGAGTTCCCTTGTCTTCTGGATTGGGTTCACAGTTACAAGGCTGCGTAGTTGAACATTGGTAGTCGTAAACCCAAAATATTGAGTCGGTTGTTCAACACGACGGTTATAAAATAAAATACTTTCTGCAAAGCAACCATAAGAAAATAATGCATGCAACTTTCATGAATTGTTTTCTCTTGTTTTCCTATCTGTAAAATTTATTTAATATTTCACTCTTCATTTTCTGTTAATTACACTCGCTCAATTCACATAATCAGATAGGGTGCGATTTTAGCTGTATGCAATGCATAAAAATGTATTTGTTATTTTTTTATCACATTACACTTAGTTTTTTTCTCATGTACAATACCTCAAACTAAGAGTAGACTTTGTTTTGTTTATCATATCATGGTTTTCAAGTCAGATTAAATCATTCCTGGCACTTTTAAACTGTGAATAGTTTAAAATTTATATATCTAAATAATTTATCATCGTGAATATCTTCATTTCAGTTTTCATAAAACAGCTTAGTTTACAACTACGAATATCTTTGTTTCAGTTTTCATAAAACAGCTTAGTTTACAACTACGAATATCTTCGTTTCAGTTTTCATAAACTGCTTAGTTTACAACTACGAATATCTTCGTTTCAGTTTTCATAAAACAGCTTAGTTTACAACTACGAATATCTTCGTTTCAGTTTACGCAATACAGAAACCTAACTAAACAAATGTGAATACATTTAATTTACAATTCCTCTCACTAAAGCTAAACTCTATCACTGTGAGCGTATGAATTTCAGTTTACTTAAAACTGTTTGAGAACATCTACTTCTTCACCAAACTTAGGAATATGGTTATTTATACAATTATATAGTAGGGAATTTCTCAGAAGTAGAAATGTAACACAGTTTACAACAATAGAGTTTAAATTTTAATCACAGTAAAATTTTATCGGTAAATGTATAATAACTGTATTGTGACAATGATTAACATAAATTATTGCAAAAGCTTTCTATATGTACCTTAAAAAATATTTAAGAAAATAAATTTCGAGAATTAAAACATTTAAATTTAAAATTTTAAAAAACGCAATTATTTTGATGGATATCCAAAAATGTAACATAAAAACCAAACATTATATTAACAGAAAAATAATTGAAGTAAATACTTTAAACTCAATTATCCATTCTAAAAGAATTTATGAACTTAAATACTTTCTTACGCTTTTATGAACGTTTTTTGCAACGCATTGCTATTTCTTTCGGAAACTAAAGGAATGTAAAAAACTTTCATGTAAACAATGATATTAGTTAAATTTACTGTTAAAGAGAGTCTGTTGCACTAAAATTTAATGAAAAAAAGTTATTATCATAGAAAATTATGATCACATTATTTAACTATAAGTCAGAAAAAAAAAGACATTTAGAATTTGAATAGAAGAAAATAATAACAAAAAAATAATAAAAACAATGATCTGGAAAATATGGTCTCAATCGTTTGGTCAGGAGAACGCTATAAAGTTTGGACCCCTTAAATGTTCATTTTTACTTTTTTCGTACTTCACTATATCTAAAGAACTTTTCAAGCGAGTTTATAACTTTCCGCATACAATTATGAAATTTGTTTTCCCAAAGATAATTCCATGCAAAAAAATAATTTTTAGTAAATATTTATAACTTTTTATTTTTTTATTGCTTTATTTAAAAATGGTGAAAAAAATTGAAATCGTAAGGCATATAATTTTTTGCATCATTTTAACGAATATAATATTATACAGCAAAATACAAAATTTAAGTAAATCCGATCATTCTTGTCAGCATCACTCATCAGCAGCTCCGGTAGCGAAAACCCGGTCATTAGATCAAAAATTATTTTGAGTACTTCAATTATTGTTTGTGCACTGTACATTACAGTACATTTGCAAGTATTATTGTTATTAAATATATCGCTCATGGGCTGCAATAGTGGCACAACACAAAAAACACGCGTTTTGGACTAAGGTCAGGTGTAAATGTATAAATACACATTCTTTTCAGCAGCAATACTAGCACAACTCATAATTCAACTGGAAGGTAATCTTCATTTAAGCAAATTAAAGCATTTCTATGCATTTTCCTTAGCAATGAAAACTTTAAACCCACTTATCTCAAAACATGATTTTTTAAGCTGTGCCGCTATTGCAGCTCGTGAGCGATATAAAAATAAATCAATTCCAAATAATATAAAAGTGAAAAAATTTATATCTTTACCCAATGATATCTCCATACTTTTCTTTCATCTTCCATAATGTCTTATGAGGTTCCATGCCTAAAAAAGGTAAATAACCCACCCAAGGTAGTCCGATAGGTCCTGGTGGCAACAATTTTCTTCGTTTTATCCATTTTAGAAAACTCGTGCACAAATTCCATGATAAGCTTATTAAAAGAATAACTACCAAAATATAAGATATGTAGGTGAAATTTCCTCGCTCGCTATATTTCATTAAAGCATCAAACACCATGATGGATATTTACAGAAAATAACTTTAAAGGCCAATGTACTTTCTCCCATTTATAAAATTTCGGGTCGCACAAAAAAGATAAGTATACTATTATCAAGTTATATGTAATTGTATTATCTTTTTATAATCTTATCTACTAAATACTAAGTAAGCTTTTTCATTATCTTCTCAGAGTTTAATGGTCAGTAACTAATAATAAACTATTTTTACTGTAACTAGTCGTTAACTTATGCACGATATTTATCCCGATAAACAGAATATCCCGATAACGAGGAGTTTTGAAACATTTTACAAAACAATATTTTGAGTAGTTTAACAGTTTAGGCTTGTTTGTAAATTAGCATGGTGCTAAGTTTTTATTTTTGAACTTTTTTTACGATTACGTCCCATTGAACGAGTTGTTTCAATTTCAGTTTTTAATGTATGCTTAAATGAGTGGAGTACATTAATTATTTATAAAATTTAAAATTAAAAAAAAATCGAGTCTTGCAGTTCTGCAATATAAATCCAAAATAAAATGATAAATAAAACTAAGTAAAAAATAATTTGGTTGGTATCTCTATCAATTACTTCTTAAAACAAGAAAAAACCATGATCAGAATATGGTGAGGTTTGATATGTTTCTGGCTTTATGGGAACATCGAAATGCTCGGTAATAACGCTGAAAAACGCTGAAGCACTCTCATACTCCGTTTTACAATATTCAGAAAAGGTGTTAGATTATAAAATCACTACAAAAAATGTAAGTGTTTCTCTATTATTAAAATAACCTGTAAAATTAATTAAAACTAGTGGGTTGCGCCCCCTGCTCACTAACGCTAGCCAACCCCCGATAATTGCTACGCAATCATATATGGTTTGCTTCGCAAACCAAGCTGGCTTCGCTCGCTACTAACTTAGGTACATTGCAAATGCACAAAATTCTAAGAATTCAAAACAATCATTCAAATCCATATAACAACTTTTTTTTTTAAAAAAAAATACATCTTTTTAGTAAATACTAAGTCATTAAAATAAATTTGAATTCAAATAAATGACATGTAATTTGTTAAACCTATTAGAAATGTGCTCTCTTTAAAAAGGTTAAAATTTTGGCTATAATTAAGTCTATTAAAAATTGAAATAAGTGAATTGCAATGGAAAAACCTGCACAAACAAATAAATTCTAGTAAAACAAATAAATTCGCGATATAAATCAAAAATCGTCAAATAAATTCGTAATATATAAATTCGTGAAAAAAGCGCTTTCGACAAAATACTAAAATAGAGATCTATCGACAAAGACTTCTTCTGCCTAGCTTATGCTCTCTCTGGTTATTTCATTTTCCGTTTTTAAAAGCGCTATATGTTGAGCCATCTCAGCTAGATTTGGCATGTGACATTTTTAGCGGCAATCATTGGTCGATTTTCTAGCGTTGCCATTCGGGGAGTTGTAATGAGGCTTTTTTTTGTCGCCGTGTAAGAGAAATATATGTATATAGATACCTAAGTACCTTTGATGGCTATGAATGTATAATGCGCAGAAAAAGAAACGGACTGTACTGAATGATTTTTGATTTAATCGAATCTGTAGAATCTTGGACGTAATCTTAATGGCTGGAAGGGATGACTTAAAATCTAATAACTGTAAATGATATTTTAAGTTACGAAATCAGACATAAAAACGTTTTTTCTCTGATTTTTCTCTTTTTTGTCAACGGATTTGGACTTCTGATACCCAAAATATAAGGGGTAGAAGCAATTTGGCGAATATTGTCCCAATAATTTGGTCAGAAGATGGGTCAAAAATCCCTTAATGTTAATTTTTGCGTAGTTGCAACTTTTAAACGTATAACATTTATACAACTTTTGACTGCACAACATTTTAAAATTTGATTTCTCAGGAACTATTCGTCAGATTTTGACCAAATTTTGTACTTTACATTCTTCAAAATGACGTAAAAATTTGTGTAACAAATGTGTATTGTATGAATTCAAAATTTTTAAAACTATTGAGAAATAAAATAAGAAAAACTAGTAAATATTTACTAAAAGTTATTTTTTTGCACGGAATTATCTTTGGCTAAACGAATTTTTTAATTTTGAGGGAAAAAAATTTTTCTCACTTGAGACATGGTGAAATATCAATCAAAATTTGACTTTATGATAACTACACTTTGACTACTCTTCTAACCACACTATTGGGACCATTTTTCCCAAATTGTAGCTATTCCCTATATTTCGGGGGGTCAGAAATCCAAATCCATCGGGGAAAAGGTGTATTTATTCAGAGAAAGCACGTTTCTGTCTCGGATTTCGAGGCTTAAAATATAGCTTGTACTAATTAATTGGCATATTTGGTATCACATCTTTGAACCATTACGATTGAGTCCTAGAACTCGAAGATCCGATCATTATATCAAAAGTTATTCAGAGTGGTCTGTTTTTTTTTTGTGCACACCTATATTATTAATAAGCCAACTGGCCTGTGTAGGGGTTAGGAAACTGCCCTTGCACTAGAAAGGTTCTGGGTTCGAATCCCGGGCAAGGCATGGATGTTCCTTCCTTCTCTGTACTATGTGTCCTTACTGTGGGAGCAACGTTGGCCCACCTAATATGGTGCCCCAAAGAGTGGCCAAGAAATCTGCCCTTAGAGGTCTGTATGACCTAGATAGGTCATTCTCCTGGTGGGCATTGGAAAAAGAATATTATAATAAAAACATATGTAATTTATCCAAAGTGCTCAAAAAAAATTTAAATATCATAAATAACTTTTAATATAATGATCGGATTTCCTCTTCAGGACTTTTTCTAAGTGGTTCCAAGGTCTAACATTAAATGTATTTCTTAACTAATGAAGATATTTTAAGCGTAGTGAAATCCGACACAAAAGCGTAATTTCTCTGAATAAAATTAGATGTTTTCCATGGTTTATAATTTATGATTCTCAAAATAAAGAAGAGCCAGCAATCGGAAAAATATGTTTCCAATTGATTTCCTAAATGTTAGTTTCCATTTTTATATATTTTATTATGTAACTGGAATTACCCAAAATTACCCTTACCAGATTGCAACAAAAATGCCATAGTCACGGAGACTTATTTGTGTAGTCATATGTGACCGCTAGTACGTCGATGTGACGGTTTTATGAAGGTTACTATGTTCGCCTTTATGGACGTCACATCTTGACGTCGTTCAAACGTCAACATGAGACTACAATGAGACTTTCAGGGGATCAAATTTGCAACAAATTTTCCCAGTGACATTAGTCCCAGTAAAGTACATTTTTGAATACCAAGTGACAACAGTCACGATAATTAGTCACGGAGACTTTTGTGTGATGTCACAAACATCAAAGTCACATTATGACATCTATGAGACAATTCTAAACGGTCACACCAGTGAATCTGACTGCTGTGACCGTTTTTGACTTTGTTGTGACGTCTCTGAGATAATCTGTGCTGTCTGGGTAATGAATTTAAAAAAAACTTTTCCTATAATTATAAAACGATAAGAAATTTAAAAATAAAACTGCCCCGATTTAGTAGACGAAGTTTTAAACGTCAAAATCTAAGATTTGAAGAAAATCGGTTTAATTGTTCTTGAGCATATAAGTCCTCGAACATCTGAGCCACAGTGTGTGGAAATCCGATCATTAGACTGATAGTTATTCAGGGTGTTTGCTTTCTTGCGCACTATATGCCTCAATACGTCTGTGAAAATTTTATTTGAAAAGACTTTAAATGTATCTTACCGTAAATCTTTATAAATATGGGATAGACTTGATAGATTCCAATATTAGGTATATTTTATTTCTTAATAAACTTCTAATTATTGATAAAATCACTGCCTTGAATGATTAAAAATATGCCAACCACTAAAAAAACTTTCAATTCATTGAACTTCAAGTTTAACCTAGTATCTAGTATCTTTATATATATTTTAAAAGGTTTTGGCTTACTTTTAAAATGCTGAATTATTTTATATTATTTATCTAAGTTAATCTAAACTGTGGTAGCAAAACGAACTATACATAATTTAAGCAAAGAATTTAAAAGTATTTTCTGTACTTGGAATGTTAATGGGGTGACAGCAAAATTCATTTTTAGATGCATATAAGACAACATAAATATACACTCACATAATATGCTATTTAACTTAACTACTGAAAGTACGATAAAAAAAAAAAGATTTGCTGAATTAAAAAAAATTTATTCCAATACATTAGATCGGAATAAAATGTTTTACAATAAGCATTTCTAAAAAAACACAATTCAAATTTTGCAATCGTAATACAGAAAAAAATTTATAAAAATATTTAAACTTTTGATCTGAGGAATGACGTTAAAAAAGAAAATACTCAAACAGTTTTCAAGTAAAAAAAATACACATTTTAGGTTTTATTAAGGTATTTAAATGTCATAATATATTTCAGAATCACACCTCATTGAAATACACTAAATGACGAATAACATATATGAATTTTTTATGTCTGCAAGAAAGAAAGAAAACAAAAAATGGAGGGAAAAAAAATTTCTTCCAAAATTTTTTACTTTTCAATGTCTTATATACCTTCATACAATCGCAATACGTACAATCTTATATCTTGTTCCTTCGCACTTATTTTGATGGCCGAATTATTTTCCTTATTTTCAAAAAACTTTTCAACAACCCATTGCATCACTAGAAAAATTTCTCATTAAAAAAAAAAATTTCATTTCTTTATTGAATTATCTATATTAATAATGATTTTTCAGCATAAAACTAATAAAAACAGGAAGTGTAATAAAACTTCATTGTTAACAACTACTTATCATAAAGTGTCCAAAAGAATGCGTAATAAAACTAGCACAGTGATCTGTGTATGCTCAACTTACAGATTGTATTATCTCAGCGATAATAATCTATTTTTAAAGTTTAGCCACATTGTTTATTCTTATTATTATAAGCTCGTAATCCCTAGAGAAAAATTTATCTTTTCTTTGTCTCTCAATTTGAGTTTAAAAAAGTATTATATTAATATTTTAATAACTAATTTGTTTTTAAGTTATTTCAATTGAAATTATAAAAAATAAATATATGTTATTTTTATCACTTAATTTTCTTCAAAATAGGAAGT